GGCTTGACATCACATAAAGAAAAATTGGGCACAAAAATATCGGTGGCATCTGGTCCAATATCGCGAGCAAGGGAGTAAGATTTACATATTATGTCTTTTTATTCGCTTACACTACAGGAAAATGCTAGGCTTATTTTCTTCTATATGATTTGTGCGATATTTTGTATATAAAAAGAAGGATGTCTGCGCTTGTGTTCCTGTTGCTTGCCTGCCTGCCTGTCCCGATTGCAATTTTAACAAGATTTTAGGATTCCTTATTTTCGACCTCTACACACAGGCACACATGCAAATGTCTGTGAATGGGCAGATCATAGGCGCAAAAGAAAATATCATTATTGCCACGCGTCTGACGCGATCTAGCCATGTCCGTCGATCTAGCCATGTCCGTCTGTCTGTCTGTCCGTCTGTTTGTATGTATGAACGCAAGGATCTCAGAACCTATAAGAGCCAGATAATCAATAACTCAGATATTCAATAACTTTTTCTGTTCTAAGCAATAGATAAAAATCGATATTGATATCGTGTTTTTTGCGCCTTTTTGGTAAATAATTTGAGCTAGAGTTACCAAACTTGACATATAGCTTCTAAAATAGAATATATATATGCATTTGATGTTGGAAGAAGAGGGTTCAGGGTATCCCCTAGTCGGGAGCTCCCGACTAGAACCTCTTACTTGTTTTTTTTTTTTTTTTAATTTGTTATATTTGAATATTTTAAAGATTTTTATTTTTACAGAAATTTCATTCATCAAAATCATATAAATGATATTCTCCGATAGTTTTTGTCCCTTCTTTCCTGCAATGATGTCCAGTCTATATGTTGTTTGATTAGTGCTGTTATTTAACTCTATTAATTGTGACCCCATAATTTTTCGGAATCGAAGGCATCAAAAGTCTGTGCTACATATCTTAATACTGTATCCATAAAGTCTTAGTCTATAACAAGTTTCTCATGTGCTCGATATCAATGTCTAGAAGCTTACGCATGTGAGACTGTAGAAGAAAGTCTGACATTCCCATTGTCTCATCCACTATAAGCACGAAATCTGAGATGTTAGATGAGTGCCTTACGAAATCATGCTAACTCCTAACAAACACGTCGCCGCCTACTCTTGGATTGCAATCGGAGTGTGATTAATCGGAAATCTGAGTTTTAGTTACTTGAAGAAATATAAGTAACACGGGTACAAGCCTGGAATGTTAGAAAGGAAAGGTTGGTTTCTTACATTATTATAAAAACTAAAATAATGTCACGTCCCGCATTTATCTCAGGTTGACCTGTAGACCACCCTTCGCTTAATGTAGACAGCGGAACAGTGTCCAGGGACAGCTTTTTGCCCAGTCTTTTGTTTATTGTCTGGTTTTCTCCCCTGACCTGCCGCCTTGTAGCGACAAGGCATCAGCAACATTTTGTTCACCGGGAGTTCTTTTCAGAGGTAGAAAATATTATGGGTTGATGGTCAGTGTTAATGTTTAGATATTTTACTCCGTATATGTAATGGTGCATTGCTTAGGCCCAAGTGATAGCTAACAGTTCCCTATTTTTTGTTGCGTCTTTCATTTCGCTGTCCTTTTATCGCCTATATAATGATGGATATAATGATAATAATAATTTTAGGAAATAACTAACCACAATTTGACGCGTCGGTCGTTAAATAGTCTAGGTACGGGAACATAACGTGACGTTGGACTTTATTGATTTATGAGAAAATTTCTTAGAAAGCCGTTTTTATTCCATACGGATATTAGAGAACGGTTTCGACTTCTGTATGTGTCCAGCCGATGAGCCTCGTCCACTAACGATTGCTTTGTATAGGGTATGTCAACAGCCGAAAAAGAAGCCGTAACGAAGAGCATTATCATTCAGGCTTATTCTGGATATACTGAAAGCAGCAAACAACGAGGGAGAACGCAACACCTACAAGGAGCGCCTAGCCCAAGTAAACAAGACAGAACACAAATTACCGAAAAAGGAGCGCATTTATGCCAGTGCCTTTGTTGCCAATATGAATAAGCTCCAATCTAACCAGTGATAGGCTAAAATAAAGTTATTAAAAAAAATTAAAGGCAAATGTCAAAGGCGAATTCCCTGTAGTATACTATCTCTCTCTCTCTCTCCCTCTCTCTCTCTCCCCTGAACCCTCTTATTCCAACACCAAATAAATTAAAAAAACGAGAAAGAAGGGCTATCTTCGGCACGCCAAAGATCTAATACCCTTGCAGACCCAACCTTTTCATAATGCTCATAGTGCTTTGCCTCTAGCTAAGAAGTACCGGGAAAATAGTAAATGCCGAGTTTGGTCAAGATATCTTGATAAATAAAATGTTTTTTCATACAACTTAATTTTCGACCGATCGTTCCTATGGCAGCTATATGATATAGTGGTCCGATCTTTATAGGATTTTGCACATATATGAGGAGTAAAGTAAAACTAATAAATGCCGAGTTTGGTCAAGATATCTTGAAAAACAAAATGTTTTTTTCATACAAAAACTTAATTTTCGACCGATCGATCCTATGGCAGCTATATGATATAGTGGTCCGATCGAGCTGGTTTTCACATATGTGCTGCGTGCAACAGAAAGAGGGAGATCTGCAAAGTATCATTAGGATAGCTTTAAAACTGAGGGACTAGTTCGCATAGAAACAGACAGACGGACATGGCTATATCGACTCGGCTGTTGATGCTGATTAAGAATATATATACTTTATGGGGTCGGAGATGTCTCCTTCTATGCGTTACACATTTCACGACAAAATTATTATACCCTCTGCAGGGGTATAAAAAGTTCCCTTGGCAGGGTTTGAACTCGCAACTGACCGCATTACTTGCAGTCGACTCGACTCAACAGCTACGCAAAAAAAAGAAGAAAAATACTTTCCCTGGTAGGGCTGGAACTCGGGATAGACCACACCACTTGTTATTCCTCTACTCAGCAGCCACACCAATATAAGTACTTGTGATAAAAAGGGAACTAAAATAGCATTACAGAAAAAAGACGCAATTACCATGCTGTTAGAATGCAAAGCATTCCCCCCATTAAATTGAACAGTTGCATATAACTTTGGTTTTTACTTAACCGATCTTTATGAAATTTTCTACAGTATATCTTATTGTACCATAGAATATTTGTGTATTCTCAAACAGTCAATTGCATTTAAGTAGTGGCTTAACTTCGTTGGCAATAGATGTTGGGCTATCAGCTTGATTTATAGCTCTAAGGTGGTAGCGGGGAGGTGGCGTTAGGTATAAAATGAAAGATACTTGACATATCTATAATATTCTAGAAGCAACATATCATGTTTGGTGACTCAAGCTCTTATTATTTACCCAATTTCCTCAAAAAACAGGATGTCGATATTGCTTTTTATCGATTGCTTGGAAACGGAGTACGTTATCGATTATCGAAACTCGATCTGCGCAGACACTAGGAGGAACCCTGCCAAAGGAACTTTTTTATACCCTGAACCCATTGAAAATTATTATACCATAGCATATTTGTGTATTGTCAAAAAGTCATTTGCATTTAAATTGTGGCTTAGATTGGTTTGCAATATAAGTTGGGTTATTAACTTGATTTATAGCTCTGCGGTGTTAGCGAGGAGGTGGCGAGAGGTATAAAATGGAAGATACTTGATATATATATAATATACTAGAAGCAACATAGCAAAGTTTGGTGACTTTAGCTCTTAATATTTATCAAAATTGCTACAAAAAACACAAAACAGGATGTCGATATCGATTTTTGTCGATTGCTTGGAAACGGAGTACGTTATCGATTATCGGAAACAAACTCGATTTGCGCAGGAAACAAACTTGATCTGCGTAAGCACTAGGAGGACCTACAGTTAAAATAACCAAACTTATCAAAGACAAAAAATTCAAAATGTATTAATTTCTGTGTTGCCAGATCGCATACTCTCCGTTCTAGACTTCAAATTGCGAATTGTGGATTGTTGAAGCAGTATAGGCAAAGACACTATTAACACTAAGATGAGTAACGCCATACAACAAAATGCTACTATGCAGCTTGATTTTCTGAAAATTGAGAACGAAAATGAAATCTGTAGCATTGCGCTCTCACAGCCGAGAGAACGAAAAAGCTAAAAATAGAATTTGCTCTCAGCTTCGGCTCTATGAGGGCCGTGCAAGCAATTATGTTTGTATGCAAATTAACCGATTAGTGGCTACTAATTGGAAAAATATATGTTTTAAAGTGGGAGGCTGATTCCGATTTATTTGAATCCAAGATTAGAACTAAAGTACAATTGTGAACTGATGCTGCAAGTCAGCTATGGTTATGATAAAGCTTATTCTCTTAAAACTCAAAAGCTCGCGGTGATCTTATGATTTGAATCAGCTGTGTTTATGCTAAAGCTTCTTTCCTTAATGTTTAAAAGCTCGCGGGGGTGGCTTGCGTAAGCTAGACGCTTTGAGTCATGTTTACGTTAACAATTGCGTTCTAGAGACTGGGTCTTTAGTTTACGTTATAAATTGTGCATGAGAATATGAATCTTTATGTTAAGTGGTTGCGCTGTTATGTTTATGTTAGAGCCGGGAATCTGGATATTTATGTTGGCAGAGCTGCAGCTGTGCGTTAAGTGGACGTAGTGATTGAAACGGGTCTAATAAGTCTGAAAGGGCTAAGTAATTGGGATAGCGACTTATACTAAAATGTTGTTTATGATTGCAATAAGAATTGCCTTGCGGGCTGGGTGATAGCTCCTCCCTTTCTTAAAAAGAATCGTCCCCGATTCTTAATGATTTCTTTTTAAAGATTCAATTTGTTCGTTTAATTGGCTTAATATGTCAAGCTCTGTTTCTGTAGTTTGAGTGTTATGGTACTTTTGATTACTTGACGATTTCAATTGCAGTATTTTGAGAGGATTTAGATTTATTAAAGGGCATCGTTTAAGAAGCTTAACCATAGTAAAAATAAAAATTAGTATAAATAATAAAAAGGTTATTTTTGAATGATTACTATATAATTTTATAACAATTTGTGATAGTATATTTGTATTTTCTAATTGAAGTTCAGTATTATTAGTAACTTGATAACTAACTAAGTAGTTTGTGAATTTATTGTGTTTTACATAATTAAGAATTTTTTCTCTTACATTGGTGTAGGTAACATTGTTTATGGTTTCTATGGTTTTAAATGTAACAAGGTAAATGCCTGTAAGCCAGGTTTCGTTAATACAGTTTGTGCCTGATACTAAAATAGCGCCGTCTGTTATAAATTCTATTGGTTTATTTTTTTCGGATAATTTTATACAACTTGTAAATTTTTTATTAAGGAGATTTACAAAACAGTTTGGTTCAAAATTAATGTAGGCAAAACTATTATAAATTTCTCTTTTAAAGTTATCAATGAGGTAAAACGTGTTATTACATTTAGCAATTTTGCCGTTAACGAAAAATTTTCCATCTGTTTGGGATATGGCTTTAGGGTGGTATAACTTACAATTGTAATTAATTGTAGGGTATTTTTTAAAAACTATGATTAAACCTGGGTATGAAACGATCGAAAAAGAGGAAATGTCTAAAAGATCGATTAGAGTGATATTGAGTGTTTCGTGGTTAAATATATTTATCATGTCTTGTTTATTTAAGATTTTTGGATTCAATATTCTGGCTTTGGAAAATGTGATAGTATCCAGCAGTTTTTGTAGGTCAAGTGATAACAACTTAAGTCGATATTTTTCATAAATAATTCCTGATTAAATTTAATATCTCTTAAAAGATTTGTGATTTTAGTGACTTCTTTGAAAATTGCAGAATTGATTTGATTTTGCTTATTATTGTTTTGAACAAGTTCATTGATTTTAGTTTGAATAGTTATCATGTCATCGTGGTCTGGTGTTCCTGTGATCCATTTAAAAATTGTGCCTAGTTCATTGATACTACGTTTGGCAATTTTGTGAGGTGTAAGTTCAGAAAGGAGTGTTTTGATTAAATTCAATTCCAAGGTTACTTTCCTATCAATTGTATTGTTTTTGTTTTTAAAAAAATTTAATTTTTTTTCAAAAATATCGTTATAAAAACTTAGATTAGTAACGTGAAAAACTTCTCCGTATGCTTCGTATAAAAAAAGATTATCTGTATCCTCAAGTAGGACATAGTCATCATTTGAATAAATTATAATGTCTGTACCGCAAAACGGCAGTAAAACATATAAGATCCATAAAATGTGCATTCTAAAAATACATTAAAAAAAAAAAACAAAATAGGTTAGAATTTGATATTGTCTTTGTGAATAATACGATCCCCATTGTTTATTTTGACTTTATTTCCTAAGTCTTCTTTAACTACCAGTTTTTTAATCTAGGTTGTAGTTTGTTTCGTTCGCCATGTTTTTTTTATAAATTATTTCACCTACTTGGTAATTTTTTGGTGACCTCTTTTTGTTATGATACTCTAACATTTTGGCTTGGGCTGATTTTAATTTTTCTGACAATTTTGGGTGTTCTATTTTGTTAAATAATATGTCACATGGTTTTTGTTAAGTTGTCGATTGAATTGTGTTGTTATACTCTTTAACTGCTCGGTATACGACTTCGGAATGATCCATTATATTGTATTCTTCTTGAATACAACGAGAAATTTCGATAATTGTTGAATGAACTCGTTCTACCTGACCGTTGCTTAAACTGTGTCTGGGGTCTGCATGATAAATCGCTATACCTGAACGAGACATTGACGATTTGAATTGTGTCGAGGAAAACTTAGGTTCGTTGTCCATCATTATGGATTTAGCGAAAGGAAAAGTTTGGATAAGTTCCAACACTTTGTTTGCCATATCTGATTTGTCATTGATTTCCTTAATCACTAAAAATTTAGAATATGCGTCTAGGCATGTCAAAAATGTTAATTTTTGAGCATAAAAAATGTCAATATGTAATTGTTCATCTTCTCTCTCCGGAATAGGAATTTGCTTAGGGTTTCTGTTATATTTATTTTTATTACAAATTTCGCAGTAGCGTATGTGTTGCTTAAGGGTTTTATATAATGTTGGCCAATAATAGTATTTGAGAATTTGCTGAAGATTTTCGTCCAAACCTCTATGAGCACGAGCATGTGTTTCTACTATTATAATTTCTTGGTCATTTTTGTTTTCGATGTCTAGGACAAACTTTTTAGTAAATAAAAATTTGTTGTTAAAAGTGTTTTAATGAGTTTTGGATTTCGAATAAATCTTCGAGACTGCAATGAACTCCTGTAGTCAGGTTTGGTTGAAGAAATTCTTTAAGTATGATTATTAAATTGTGTACTGTGTCGTATTCTATAATATGTCTTGTTTTGTTGAAAACTTCAAATTTTTCATGAATTGTTATGTTGTTTTTAGAAACAAGTAATTGTTGTTTAAATTGGTTCAATTGTTTGTGTGTTTCTTCAATTACGCTTTTATAACTACTGTCGGCTGAATGGATAGTTTAATTATCGGACGGTTCTTCTTCGGACAGGTGATTTCTTTAATTGGAAATATGATTGATCATTACCCTTGATAACGCGTCAGCGACGACATTGGTAGATCCTGGTTTGTAAAATATTTTAGGGGAAAATTCTTCTATGAAAGCATGCCATCTTTTCATTTTTGAGTTAGGGTGTGATTTTAAGTTTTCAAACGCAGAGATTGCTTCTTCGTCTAGAGATATTTCTGTTTTTTTTGACATATGTTTTGAAACCATACCGTTATGTCCCTGTAACAATTTAGTGAGTGGTTTTGCTATAGTCGCGTAGTTTTTTACAAACTTCCTGTAGTAGCCTGTTAAGCCAAGAAAACCTCGTAATTCCCTTAAATTATTAGGAGGAGGGTATTTCATGTTTGATTCTATTTTTTTCGGATCAGTTTTAATGATATTGTATGATACTATGTATCCTAAAAATTCTATTTCTTTTCTAAAGAATTTTGATTTTTCCAAAGATATTTTCATGTTTGCTTTGAATAGAATTTCAATGATTTCTTGTAAATCATCAAAATGTTGTTCCGGGGTATTTGAAAAAACTATTGTCTCGTCCATATAAATGTGACCAGTTTTTCCGATTTTTTCACGTAATATATTGTCTATTGCTCTCTGAAAGATGCTTGGCGCGTTCGCAATTCCAAATGGCAAACGAAGAAATTCATATTTTCCATTGTTAATGGAAAAAGCTGTTTTTTCGATGTCTTCTTCTTTCATTAGAATCTGATGAAATCCGGATTCTAAGTCAATTGTCGAAAACATTTTGGCTTTGCCTAGGTTGGATAGAATGACTGAAGGATCAGGCATTGGATACCTATCGGGGATTTTATCGTTATTCAGTTTCTTAAAATCTATTACCAATCGATTCTTAGGCGTTCCATCTTCATTAAAATCTTTTTTCCCTACTACCCATACCGGGGCATTATAAGGACTTCTGCTGGGCCTTATTATATTTTCATTTAACATCCTGTTTATTTCCTGACTAACAAAATTGTTAGCTGAATGAGGATAAGGATATTGTTTACTGTAAATTGCATTTTCGTTTAATGTTCTTATCTCTCCTCTAATATCTGTTCTAAAAGGGAGACATGTTTGAATCTGGGAATGCTTTGTTTCTATTTGTTGAACGACTTGTTGCTCAAGGATATTCAAATTATCCATTTCATTAATGGAATGAGCCTTACCAGAGCTGTAAGGCATGTTGAGTATTCAGACTCTTGAGACTGTATTGTGATAGTGACCGTGTTTCCTTCTGTTTCAAAACGAGAATCTCCTAGACCAGATACAATGGCTGAGGACTTGTGCTTCTTTAGCTGAAGCTGTTGAGCAAGGCGCTACGTTATAAGGTGAAGCTGAGAACGAGAATCCAAAAGGGCACGACAAGGTATCAAAGTGCCGGAGCGATTTCTTACAAAGATCATAGCCGTAGCCAAGACGACAACATCACTACTGAAATACTGGGCAACAAGAGGTGTGGAGGTAGATGGCGATGACTTAAAGAGGCATGGGCTATCGGCGATGAATTTGCAGGCTCAATCAGCTGACCAGACGAAGATACGGAATTGTTTAAATGCAGCAGAGAATGATGTTTCGCCCCGCAGGTCCGACAGCATCCAGAGATGCATGATCGCAATTGATGACCTTTCTTTAGGCAATTCAAGCACAATGCAACTCGTTGTGCCTCCCTAAGCCGTAATGCAGGGTTCAAATTTCCAAATCGAGAACAATTATATATACTATAACCAGGGCTGTCACAAAAGACGCAGACAGGGGCGTCGTGGTTAGTGGCGATAAATGACGATCTACTGGTGTTAATTGCTCTAGTTTTTCCCACCTGATGGCTAGGGGCATAACTTGCCATAGCAAAATTTACGGTTTGGTATTAAATTAACGAACGACGAATCCTCTAGCCTTTCTTCCCATTTGGCTTATGATATTGGGTCCAGCTTTTGTAAAATAATCTGCACAATGATGCATCCAGCCATTTGTTCGGAGTTGCCCATGCTCTTTAACGCGCGAAAATGTGCGTTGAATTGGTCGGATAACTCCCTTAGCGACACGGCCGATCCACCTGCCACCCTCTTGAGCCCCAATATCTCAAGTATGTGTGCCTGAAAAACCAAACGTCTATTATTAAACTTTCTCTCCAATAAATTAAGTGCTATGGCATAATTATCGTTTGTTATTTCCAATGATCGAATCGCGTCCAGCGCTGTATCCTTCAGGCACGATCGAAGATGCTGCAGCTTTTCGATATCTGCTAGATGAGGATGATTTTCTATGACGGTTGTAAACATAGAATAAAAGTCGGCCCATTCTGTGTAACCACCACTGAACGTAGGCAACTTTATTTAGGGTAGTGTTGGCGGTGCCTTTGTTCTAACTGTCTGCGAGGGCAACACAGATTGGTCGCGAAATGTTGAGCAGGGCAATATTGAGACACGTTTTGCAATTTCACTCCGATTTCATCAAAGTCTAGTTCTTCGAGGCTAGTGCCGCTCGATTTGCTTCAGCCTAACACTAAGACCGCACTCATCAATTGCACTAAGTGGCGAATTAGTTAGAGCATTTCGAAGTGTTTGCAAACTGTCATAAATTGAAATGGCTTTGCGCTTCAGAAAGGTCACCCTGTTTGCAGAGGGCACTGCACTAGAGGCATTATTTTCGGTTGCCATTAGAAGCGCTATAGAAAGCGCGTGCGAAACTAGCTGAGTAACTAACAACGGTGATCGCTAGAACATGCAAACCGTTCAAAAAACAATACTTGTACAATAAGAACTTCGGCGAACGCAAGTGTCAAGCTATGTAATGAAGCAACGGCAATAGCTTTTACATAAGTACCGTACGAATGAGCAGAGACTTTAAGCGACCGAGAGAGTAGGCAAAGCGACGGCGATAATTATGTATGTATATAAAGTGCACAAAACGAAATGCCAGGTGGTGCCTTTTAAGATTATTGCTTTAATGTAATGCAAATAATCTTACAACAACAAAAATAAATATTCACATCGGGGTCACCAAATGTTGGGCTATTGAGCTTTTTCAATAGCTTTCACAAATAGAAATAATTAACTATTTATTTTTTGTGTTCAAAATTGTTTTATATTTCTTAAAGTTACGAGAAGCAGGCAGACCCGAATTGGTCTGTGCTTATTATTTAAGAACAATAGTTTATATATAGGAAAGCGAACCGGAACTAGTACGTGCTAATTTTAGCAAAGAGACAATTATTAGTTATAATTTTGAGTAATGCAAGTGGCCGATGCGTACCAAATGCATGAAGCGAACGAACTTAACTAACTCGATGCGCAGCATCGAGGCCTTTGCATAAGTAAAGCTAGGGCAATAAAACGATCGTTACAGCGAAGAGCGGCAGCTCTATGTAAATGAATTCTTAAGAGCGAAACTTAGGCACTTGCTTTGCAGAGCGAGTATTATAAGATAAAATTAAGATGCTGCTCTTATCAGTTGCGAGGTCGCTCCAGTTGTTTTGGCTGCGTAAGACACCCTGATTCTGAAAACTTTAAGAGTAGTGAAAATACCCTGAGCTGGAAATATTAATTGTTCACAAGACTTAAAAGTGAAATCAAATTTTCCGTTCATGTTAAATGAAAACATTCAAAAAAATTAATCGATCAAAGAAGCGAAACGAATATTTTCGCCAATAAAATTTTTTCACCAATCAAAGACTTTTAACCAAATAAAAAATATCACGTCAACCTGAGACCCCTATAAAAGAAGACCCTAAAACCCAGAAGGAAGGAAGGAAGGAAGACTTGAACGACATATGATTGCAAATCACCCATAAAGAAAGACATTTTACGTGAGCCATCATCATTTACTTTAAAAAGAAATTTTTTTACTTAAGTAATGAGAGTTTAAATTTGTGTAAGCATTTGTTAGAATAATAAGTGTTATAAGCTGGATAACCATATAGAAAGTTTAATTGAAGATTTTCAAAATTTAAAAATGGCTAACAATAATAACTTGACAGCTGATTTGGTAGCTCAGTTGATTGCAACTCAGACCACAGCGCTTTAAGAACAAATTGCAGAATTGAAGTTACAAATCACTCTCTCATCTAATAATGAACAAGAATATAATGACCTAATTCGTTGCGATGAATCTTTTGATGTTATTAAGTCTATACCATATGCAGCTATAATGAATATGTTAGTTGGCGCGAAGCCGCTTGCTGTGCCATGCGAATGTATAAAGAAGGAAGTAGAAAGTACGTAGGTGCTTTAACAATATTGAGAAATAAAATAACTGGTAAAGCTAATGACAACTTGGCTAATCACGGTACCGTTCTTAATTTTGAAGATATACTTGCAAGGTTGGATTTCGCCTACAGTGATAGACGACCAATCTATATTATAGAACAGGAGTTAAGTATTTTACGACAGGGTAACTTATCCGTTCTCGTATACTACAATTTAGTTAATAAAAAACCCTTTTGATAAACAAAACTATTATGACGTATGGTGACAAAGCCCACATCATTACGGAAATGAATAAGAAAACAAGTAAGAGGTTCTAGTCGGGAGCTCCCGACTAGGGGATACCCTGAACCCTCTTATTCCAACACCAAATAAATTAATAAAAAAAAGTTCCCTTTGCAGGGCTCGAATTTGCAACTGACCGCATTACTTACTGTCGACTCTACCTAACAGCCACACTAGAAAAAAAAAAAAATAATAATACTTTCCTCGGTAGGGCTCGAACTCGCGACAGACCGCACCACTTGCTATGCCTCTACTCAGCAGCCGCACCTACAATTAAGTACTTATTATAAAAAAGGAACTAAAATAACATAACAAAAACGAGAAAGAAGGGCTATCTTCGGCATGCCAAAGATCTAATATCCTTGCAGACCCAACCTTTTCATAATGCTCATAGTGCTTTGCCTCTATCTAAGAAGTACCGGGAAAATAGTAAATGCCGAGTTTGGTCAAGATATCTTGATAAGCAAAATGTTTTTTCATACAACTTAATTTTCGACCGATCGATCCTATGGCAGCTATATGATATAGTGGTCCGATCTTTATAGGATTTTGCACATATATGAGGAGCAAAGTAAAACTAATTAATGCCGAGTTTGGCCAAGATATCTTGAAAAACAAAATGTTTTTTCATACAACTTAATTTTCGACCGATCGATCCTATGGCAGCTATATGATATAGTGGTCCGATCTTTATAGGATTTTGAACATATATGAGGAGTAAAGTAAAACTAATAAATGCCGGGTTTGGTCAAGATATCTTGAAAAACAAAATGATTTTTCATACAAAAACTTAATTTTCGACCGATCGATCCTATGGCAGCTATATGATATAGTGGTCCGATCTTAATAGGATTTTGCATATATATGAGGAGGTTAGTAAAACTAATTAATGCCGAGTTTGGTCAAGATATCTTGAAAAACAAAATGTTTTTTCATACAAAAACTTAATTTTCGACCGATCGTTCCTATGGCAGCTATATGATATAGTGGTCCGATCCAGCTGGTTCACATATGTGCTGCGTGCAACAGAAAGAGGGAGTTCTGCAAAGTTTCATTAAGATAGCTTTAAAACTGAGGGACTAGTTCGCATAGAAACAGACGGACGGACAGACGGACATGGCTATATCGACTCGGCTGTTGATGCTGATTGAGAATATATATACTTTATGGGGTCGGAGATGTCTCCTTCTATGCGTTACACATTTCACGACAAAATTATAATACCCTCTGCAAGGGTATAAAAAGATGCAATTACCATGCTATTAGAATGCGAAGCAGACGCGCATGAATGTGTGTGTGCACATGTATACAGAAATTCTTAAAGCTGCTGCCCCATTCAATTGCGCAGTTGCATATAACTTTGGTTTTTCTTAACCGATCTTTATGAAATTTTCTACAGTACTTCTTATCGTACCATTGGATATTTGTGTATTCTAAAAGTCAATTGCATTTAAATTGTGGTTTAAATTGGTTGGCAATAAAAGTTGGGTTATTAACATGATTTATAGCTCTGTTGTGGTAGCGGGGAGGTGGCGATAGGTATGAAATGAAAGATACTTGAAATATCTATAATATTTTAGAAGCAACATATGATGTTTGGTGGCTCTAGCTCGTATTATATATCCAATTTGCTGAAAAAAAACAGGATGTCGATATCGATTTTTATCGATTGCTTGGAAACGGAGTAAGTTGTCGATTATCGGAAACAAACTCGATCTGCGCGGGAACTAGGAGCATCTACATCTAAAATTTCAGTCTCTAGCTCTTATAGGTTCTGAGATCCTTGAGCTCATACATACGGACGGACGGACGGACGGACGGACGGACGGACGGACAGACAGACGGACATGGCTAGATCGACTCGGCTATTGATGCTGATCAAGAATATACATACTTTATGGGGTCGGAGATGCTTCCTTCTGCCTGTTACATACATTTGGATTTTGCACAAATACAATATACCCTTATACCTATTTTTAATGGGTTCAGGGTATAAAAACAGAGACAACGCGTTTAAGAATTTTCATCACACGTCTTAACGGTTCTTTATCAGAAGTTTTGTTCTCACTTAAGCCTGAAAATTTGCCTAATGCTTTGGCAAAAGCTCAGGAACTGGAAGCGAATTACCAAAGGGCTAACTTCGCTTACCACCATTTCGCAAATACCCATCAACGTAATAATCTAAGCCGAGGGCATAACAATCCGCAAAAGAAATCTGAATCCCCAAAACAAGCTAATAAAAGATATGACAATCACTTAAGGTTCAATCAAGTTCCACAAAATCAAATTTTTGTGCAAAGCAACAAGACTCCTCAACCTCCACCGGAGCCCATGGATGTAGACAAATCCATACAACTACAGAATACACCTTATCCGTATCCCCAAAATCGAAATTCGACTCAACCAAAAAAACGGGAATACGCTCCCCCTTCGGTTCAGCAACCTAACAAACTCATGCGTATCAATAACCTCGAGGAAGACTATTTTTTAGAAGAAGAGGGGGAGAACTCCCCTACATGTTCAGAATAGACAAAAAAATAAATAAAATTTTAAAAATATTAATTGACATCGGTGCCACCGCTTGTTATATAAAAGAGGGTATATACGATAACGCAGAACAATTAGTTATAAAAAAGAGAATTAAAACTGTAAATGGCTACTAAATGGCTAACTCATTTTCATAACATAAACATATTTGGCGAACGCCACAGATTTTATGAAATTAATAATCTAGACGCAGATCTATTAGTCGGTTATAATCTACTGAAGGAGATTAAGGCAGTAATCGACTTGTCAAAGGGAACTTTGTTTTATAATAACAAAAAGGAAAATATTAATTTTACAAAACATGTCCAAGAAACGGTTGGCCAATTAAAAAGTTCAGACGAAGCCTATAACGTTGCTTCGTATTTGAACTACCAAAGTGGGAAATGTAAATCATTTTCTTTATTTAATGTATCCGATACAGAATCATCGTCTTTTCAAATCATTCAATTGTTTGTGTGTTTCTTCAATTACGCTTTTATAACTACTGTCGGCTGAATGGATAGTTTAATTATCGGACGGTTCTTCTTCGGACAGGTGATTTCTTTAATTGGAAATATGATTGATCATTACCCTTGATAACGCGTCAGCGACGACATTGGTAGATCCTGGTTTGTAAAATATTTTAGGGGAAAATTCTTCTATGAAAGCATGCCATCTTTTCATTTTTGAGTTAGGGTGTGATTTTAAGTTTTCAAACGCAGAGATTGCTTCTTCGTCTAGAGATATTTCTGTTTTTTTTGACATATGTTTTGAAACCATACCGTTATGTCCCTGTAACAATTTAGTGAGTGGTTTTGCTATAGTCGCGTAGTTTTTTACAAACTTCCTGTAGTAGCCTGTTAAGCCAAGAAAACCTCGTAATTCCCTTAAATTATTAGGAGGAGGGTATTTCATGTTTGATTCTATTTTTTCGGTTCAGTTTTAATGATATTGTATGATACTATGTATCCTAAAAATTCTATTTCTTTTCTAAAGAATTTTGATTTTTCCAAAGATATTTTCATGTTTGCTTTGAATAGAATTTCAATGATTTCTTGTAAATCATCAAAATGTTGTTCCGGGGTATTTGAAAAAACTATTGTCTCGTCCATATAAATGTGACCAGTTTTTCCGATTTTTTCACGTAATATATTGTCTATTGCTCTCTGAAAGATGCTTGGCGCGTTCGCAATTCCAAATGGCAAACGAAGAAATTCATATTTTCCATTGTTAATGGAAAAAGCTGTTTTTTCGATGTCTTCTTCTTTCATTAGAATCTGATGAAATCCGGATTCTAAGTCAATTGTCGAAAACATTTTGGCTTTGCCTAGGTTGGATAGAATGACTGAAGGATCAGGCATTGGATACCTATCGGGGATTTTATCGTTATTCAGTTTCTTAAAATCTATTACCAATCGATTCTTAGGCGTTCCATCTTCATTAAAATCTTTTTTCCCTACTACCCATACCGGGGCATTATAAGGACTTCTGCTGGGCCTTATTATATTTTCATTTAACATCCTGTTTATTTCCTGACTAACAAAATTGTTAGCTGAATGAGGATAAGGATATTGTTTACTGTAAATTGCATTTTCGTTTAATGTTCTTATCTCTCCTCTAATATCTGTTCTAAAAGGGAGACATGTTTGAATCTGGGAATGCTTTGTTTCTATTTGTTGAACGACTTGTTGCTCAAGGATATTCAAATTATCCATTTCATTAATGGAATGATTTATTTTGCATAAAAATGAAATTGTTATAGAGGATACCGACATCTTTGGACGTCTGCTTTTTTTGAGTTTTAATTTCTTTAGCTTTCCTTCATTAAGAATATCGTCAACTTTGGTTTTTTTCGATACGTGGGTTATCAGCGTCACTTAAAGACGATGATTCTGTATCGGATACATTAAATAAAGAAAATGATTTACATTTCCCACTTTGGTAGTTCAAATACGAAGCAACGTTATAGGCTTCGTCTGAACTTTTTAATTGGCCAACCGTTTCTTGGACATGTTTTGTAAAATTAATATTTTCCTTTTTGTTATTATAAAACAAAGTTCCCTTTGACAAGTCGATTACTGCCTTAATCTCCTTCAGTAGATTATAACCGACTAATAGATCTGCGTCTAGATTATTAATTTCATAAAATCTGTGGCGTTCGCCAAATATGTTTATGTTATGAAAATGAGTTAGCCATTTAGTAGCCATTTACAGTTTTAATTCTCTTTTTTATAACTAATTGTTCTGCGTTATCGTATATACCCTCTTTTATATAACAAGCGGTGGCACCGATGTCAATTAATATTTTTAAAATTTTATTTATTTTTTTGTCTATTCTGAACATGTAGGGGAGTTCTCCCCCTCTTCTTCTAAAAAATAGTCTTCCTCGAGGTTATTGATACGCATGAGTTTGTTAGGTTGCTGAACCGAAGGGGGAGCGTATTCCCGTTTTTTTGGTTGAGTCGAATTTCGATTTTGGGGATACGGATAAGGTGTATTCTGTAGTTGTATGGATTTGTCTACATCCATGGGCTCCGGTGGAGGTTGAGGAGTCTTGTTGCTTTGCACAAAAATTTGATTTTGTGGAACTTGATTGAACCTTAAGTGATTGTCATATCTTTTATTAGCTTGTTTTGGGGATTCAGATTTCTTTTGCGGATTGTTATGCCCTCGGCTTAGATTATTACGTTGATGGGTATTTGCGAAATGGTGGTAAGCGAAGTTAGCCCTTTGGTAATTCGCTTCCAGTTCCTGAGCTTTTGCCAAAGCATTAGGCAAATTTTCAGGCTTAAGTGAGAACAAAACTTCTGATAAAGAACCGTTAAGACGTGTGATGAAAATTCTTAAACGCGTTGTCTCTGTTTTTATACCCTGAACCCATTAAAAATAGGTATAAGGGTATATTGTATTTGTGCAAAATCCAAATGTATGTAACAGGCAGAAGGAAGCATCTCCGACCCCATAAAGTATGTATATTCTTGATCAGCATCAATAGCCGAGTCGATCTAGCCATGTCCGTCTGTCTGTCCGTCCGTCCGTCCGTCCGTCCGTCCGTCCGTATGTATGAGCTCAAGGATCTCAGAACCTATAAGAGCTAGAGACTGAAATTTTAGATGTAGATGCTCCTAGTTCCCGCGCAGATCGAGTTTGTTTCCGATAATCGACAACTTACTCCGTTTCCAAGCAATCGATAAAAATCGATATCGACATCCTGTTTTTTTTCAGCAAATTGGATATATAATACGAGCTAGAGCCACCAAACATCATATGTTGCTTCTAAAATATTATAGATATTTCAAGTATCTTTCATTTCATACCTATCGCCACCTCCCCGCTACCACAACAGAGCTATAAATCATGTTAATAACCCAACTTTTATTGCCAACCAATTTAAACCACAATTTAAATGCAATTGACTTTTAGAATACACAAATATCCAATGGTACGATAAGAAGTACTGTAGAAAATTTCATAAAGATCGGTTAAGAAAAACCAAAGTTATATGCAACTGCGCAATTGAATGGGGCAGCAGCTTTAAGAATTTCTGTATACATGTGCACACACACATTCATGCGCGTCTGCTTCGCATTCTAATAGCATGGTAATTGCATCTTTTTATACCCTTGCAGAGGGTATTATAATTTTGTCGTGAAATGTGTAACGCATAGAAGGAGACATCTCCGACCCCATAAAGTATATATATTCTCAATCAGCATCAACAGCCGAGTCGATATAGCCATGTCCGTCTGTCCGTCCGTCTGTTTCTATGCGAACTAGTCCCTCAGTTTTAAAGCTATCTTAATGAAACTTTGCAGAACTCCCTCTTTCTGTTGCACGCAGCACATATGTGAACCAGCTGGATCGGACCACTATATCATATAGCTGCCATAGGAACGATCGGTCGAAAATTAAGTTTTTGTATGAAAAAACATTTTGTTTTTCAAGATATCTTGACCAAACTCGGCATTAATTAGTTTTACTAACCTCCTCATATATATGCAAAATCCTATTAAGATCGGACCACTATATCATATAGCTGCCATAGGATCGATCGGTCGAAAATTAAGTTTTTGTATGAAAAATCATTTTGTTTTTCAAGATATCTTGACCAAACCCGGCATTTATTAGTTTTACTTTACTCCTCATATATGTTCAAAATCCTATAAAGATCGGACCACTATATCATATAGCTGCCATAGGATCGATCGGTCGAAAATTAAGTTGTATGAAAAAACATTTTGTTTTTCAAGATATCTTGGCCAAACTCGGCATTAATTAGTTTTACTTTGCTCCTCATATATGTGCAAAATCCTATAAAGATCGGACCACTATATCATATAGCTGCCATAGGATCGATCGGTCGAAAATTAAGTTGTATGAAAAAACATTTTGCTTATCAAGATATCTTGACCAAACTCGGCATTTACTATTTTCCCGGTACTTCTTAGATAGAGGCAAAGCACTATGAGCATTATGAAAAGGTTGGGTCTGCAAGGATATTAGATCTTTGGCATGCCGAAGATAGCCCTTCTTTCTCGTTTTTGTTATGTTATTTTAGTTCCTTTTTTATAATAAGTACTTAATTGTAGGTGCGGCTGCTGAGTAGAGGCATAGCAAGTGGTGCGGTCTGTCGCGAGTTCGAGCCCTACCGAGGAAAGTATTATTATTTTTTTTTTTTTCTAGTGTGGCTGTTAAGTAGAGTCGACAGTAAGTAATGCGGTCAGTTGCAAATTCGAGCCCTGCAAAGGGAACTTTTTTTTATTAATTTATTTGGTGTTGGAATAAGAGGGTTCAGGGTATCCCCTAGTCGGGAGCTCCCGACTAGAACCTCTTACTTGTTTTCTTATTCATTTCCGTAATGATGTGGGCTTTGTCACCATACGTCATAATAGTTTTGTTTATCAAAAGGGTTTTTTATTAACTAAATTGTAGTATACGAGAACGGATAAGTTACCCTGTCGTAAAATACTTAACTCCTGTTCTATAATATAGATTGGTCGTCTATCACTGTAGGCGAAATCCAACCTTGCAAGTATATCTTCAAAATTAAGAACGGTACCGTGATTAGCCAAGTTGTCATTAGCTTTACCAGTTATTTTATTTCTCAATATTGTTAAAGCACCTACGTACTTTCTACTTCCTTCTTTATACATTCGCATGGCACAGCAAGCGGCTTCGCGCCAACTAACATATTCATTATAGCTGCATATGGTATAGACTTAATAACATCAAAAGATTCATCGCAACGAATTAGGTCATTATATTCTTGTTCATTATTAGATGAGAGAGTGATTTGTAACTTCAATTCTGCAATTTGTTCTTAAAGCGCTGTGGTCTGAGTTGCAATCAACTGAGCTACCAAATCAGCTGTCAAGTTATTATTGTTAGCCATTTTTAAATTTTGAAAATCTTCAATTAAACTTTCTATATGGTTATCCAGCTTATAACACTTATTATTCTAACAAATGCTTACACAAATTTAAACTCTCATTACTTAAGTAAAAAAATTTCTTTTTAAAGTAAATGATGATGGCTCACGTAAAATGTCTTTCTTTATGGGTGATTTGCAATCATATGTCGTTCAAGTCTTCCTTCCTTCCTTCCTTCTGGGTTTTAGGGTCTTCTTTTATAGGGGTCTCAGGTTGACGTGATATTTTTTATTTGGTTAAAAGTCTTTGATTGGTGAAAAAATTTTATTGGCGAAAATATTCGTTTCGCTTCTTTGATCGATTAATTTTTTTGAATGTTTTCATTTAACATGAACGGAAAATTTGATTTCACTTTTAAGTCTTGTGAACAATTAATATTTCCAGCTCAGGGTATTTTCACTACTCTTAAAGTTTTCAGAATCAGGGTGTCTTACGCAGCCAAAACAACTGGAGCGACCTCGCAACTGATAAGAGCAGCATCTTAATTTTATCTTATAATACTCGCTCTGCAAAGCAAGTGCCTAAGTTTCGCTCTTAAGAATTCATTTACATAGAGCTGCCGCTCTTCGCTGTAACGATCGTTTTATTGCCCTA